ACAATTTATTTTAATAATTACTGTTGTAAACTAAATGTTTTATTTACGATTGTTTCTCACTAATATAAAATTTAATGAAAATAAATAGAAAGAAATTGAAAGAAAATGATGATAAATTGAAAAAAAAACATAAATTAATGTATGAATAACAGAAGAAATTAAATGAATTTATTCATACATTCTCTACCAATTTAAGTAAAAAAATCAATTATTTCTAAAATAAACTTGTATAGTAAATTAAATGATATTATTTGCTAAAGAATTAAATATAAATTAATAATTGTTCAATATTTATAAAAAATTACAAATCACTATTTATTAAAAATATTTATTAAAAAATTATAAATCGCTTTATTAAAAAATTACAAATCACTATATTAAAAAATATTTATAAAAAATATTTAACAGATTAAAATATTTTTACCCTTATGAAGTCAATTTTAAGTATTTTTATTAATTTAATCTTTGTAGTATCTTCTGTAGAAAATGATAATGTAAGATCAAATGAAGATACTCAAAATAGTCAAAGATGTGATAATTTTAAAGATAATAAAAAAGAATTATCGTGTTTTGATAAAGTATTAAACAGATTTATGACTCATTGTTGTTATAAGAGTAAAACTTCTGAAGATGACAATGATGTTTATGAATTAAACAATGAACAAGCTCAGTTAAGTGACTCTAAAGATAATGAAAATGAAAATGTTCCAGATAATGAATCATCGGAAAATACTAAAGAACCAAAAAAGTCATCAAGTGACTCTAAAGATAATAAAAATAAAAATGTTTCAGATAATAAATTATCGAAAATTAGTGAAGAACCAGAAGATTCAATTACTAATTAAATTTAATTAACCTAATTTTTTTATAAAATTTTCTTATTTAAGTTTAAATGTGATTTTCATAGAAAAATAAAGTTTTATTATCAAATAAACAGGATTTTATTTACTTAAGTGTTTTATATTTTTACATAAATAAACTAATATGGAAAAGAAAGGAGAAATGACAAGTGATTATAAATTTAATTCTTTAAGTATAAAATTAGATGATAATGAACAAATAAAGACTAAAGTAGACTTATCCAGTGAAAAATACCAAATCACAGATCCTTTTAATCACAAGATAAAAGAAAAATCCAATGACGTAGAAAAAGATTTAAAGGAATTAGAAAAAGAATTAGAGGTAGAAGTTTTAAGTGATTTGTCTGAAGAAATAATTGTAAAGTCAGATGTTTTTGACGATGAACAAATAAGTACAATAATAATACCTACTAATCCTTATGATAAAGTAGGTTATAGCATAGAAAGAGACAATGATCTTATTATTGATAAGGTCAATAAAAATTTAAAAATTAACCTTATCAGTGATAAATCAATTGATGAGTCATTAAGTAAAATTAGTATTAGAAAGACTAATAATCACATTGTTTCTATGAAATTATATGATGAAAAGCTTTTCAAACAACAGAAGAATACAAACAAACACAATGAATTAATTAAAATTGATAAAAGGTGTTTTCCTGATATTCAATTGCTTAATAGTGTAATTTTAAGAGATGGATTACTTTATTACTTCAAAATAATACAACTAAATACCTTTTGGTTGATACATAGATTTGTTTTTAATGTAGGTGATGAATATGAAATAATAGAAGACTTCTTTAAGATTAATAAAAATAAGGAATTTTTTGGTAAATTTATATCAAAGAATGTAACAAACATTACTTTTAGAAGAAGTCATTATTTGTTTTATGAGTCTAGTGAATCTAATTTTATTAAAGTTACAATGAGATTAGTAGGTAGTAGTTTACTGGTGACAGACCTTAATAATAAAGTAATCAATTTCATATCAAATGATAAGAGATTTATCATTAAAGAAAGTAAAAAATCGTTTTATATAAGAAATTCAATAGAAATTTATAAATTCACATGTAGTTGTGAGATTGAGAGAGATGAGTGGGTAAGTACTATTTTAAAGAATTAATAAACTACCCTTTTTATTTTATATTATTATTGATGATGAATTGGAAATTAATATTAGTTAGTTGATTTTAAACTAGTTAGGTTAATAGTTTTTTTTTGCTTTTTGATTAAAATTTTTTAAATAAACATTGAAATTGATGGATTACTAATAAATCTAATTGTACAAAAATTAAACCTGATTACCATTGAATTTGTATTACTTTTAGATTATAAAAAAAATTTACTATCAACTTATTAATCTTATTCCTTTAAGAATAAATTGTTTATCATAGAATTTAAATAGTAAAAATTTTCTCTCAAATATTTCATAAAATATAATTTTGGTAAATTACATTCTTTACATCAGTAAAATATTTATTTTAATACAACAACATTTATATTCTTTAACTAAACAAACCTTTTAATACAAACTTTTCTTATTTTCTTATTGTAAAATAAATTTACTAACCAATCACTATATTTAGGATCAACATTAACTAAAAACATCTTTTCAAATAAAAATTATTTCTTCTTACTATTGTATTTTTAACATCTTAATAATAAATATATCAGATGTATTAAAACTTATATTATCATATTTACATGTTTAAAAAATAATATAAAAATTAATATTAGTAATTTGATTACTTAAATATAAATTATTAAAAAAATAATTATATTTATATTTTTAAATATTATTCTATTTAAAGAAATTGTGATTATAACTAAATTTTATACCTTAACATCATTTGTTATTTCATTTTAAGCTAAACATTATAAAATAAATCTTAAATTAAATATTTCTTAAAATCTAATAACTATAGATACCACTGTATCTATTAAATTCAACAATAATTTTTAAATTCAAACAAATAAAATTTCCCTCCTATAAAATGATAAAATTATTTTATGCATAAAACCATATTTAATGGTTAAAGAACAAGAAAGTAAAAAGTATTACACACAAACACAGGAGACAGAGATAACACTAGTTAAGAACAGTCTTAGTAAAAGACAAACATCAAGTAATAGAATCTGTACTTTTGATAGTGATATAGAATATAAAGAAATAGAAATGACACCAGCTAAAAGTGTTTATTTGCTATCTCCATTAGCCCACGAGGAAATTGCAGGCAGTCCAATGTCAATGAGATACACTTCAATAAGAAAATTAAGTTTTAATAGAAAATCAAATAAAAAATTAAACTTCTTTAAGTGAATTAAATTTATTGACCCATCACTTCAAATATTTTTACGTTCATGATTTCAGTTGAATTGTCTTTTTCGTTCTTTTTATCTTCACCGTGATTTTCTTCAATTATAAAAGGTTTTAATATCTTTTTAAAAGCTTCTATTTGATTATTCATTTCTATTAGTTGTTTTTTAAAGTTTTCTAGAATCTTTAACATGTCTGCTGAGTCCTTTTTATTCAAGACACCTTCCTTTGTTTGATGTTGTGGATTTAATAACATTCCAACCAATCCACTTTTATCATCTTTTGGAATAATTGGAGTATCAATTTCTTTCTTTAGATTTTCTGATGATTTTATGTTCTCATTAATATCTTTTGGTAATTTAGAAGGCTTCTTAACTGATTTAGTTTGACTTAATTCCTCAATTAGCTGTTTTCTAGGTTCTGAAATATTTTTCATACTTAAATCAGATTTTTGATTACGACTAAACAAATCACTAAATTTAGATTTGGATTTTTCTTTACTTAATTCAGATTTAATCTTTTTATTATTTGATTTCTTTAAATTTTTATTTTCTTTGCTTAAAATTTTTTCATTTACTTCATCATCATCTGTTTTTGAATTATCATTTTCAATATTTGATTTCTTTAAATTTTTATTTTCTTTATTTAAAATTTTTTCATTTACTTCATCATCATCTGTTAATTCTTCTTTAATATTATCATCTGAACTATTTTCTAATTTATTTTCATTACTATAATTATTATCATTTTCTTCATTTTCTACTTTTTTAGTATCATTATTTTTAGTATCATCTACTTTATTAGCATCATCTACTTTATTAGCATCATTTAAATTTCTATTAAAAGAACTTAAATTTAAATCTTCATTGAAATTTGAATTCATGGCAGGTAATTCA